CTTTCCTTTTCCTATTTATCCCTTTCTATATAATCCTGAAAGGATAATCTGGCCGAACCATTACCAACACATTGTTTCCCTTCGTCGGCTCTTTTCACCTCAAAGAAGCGGACGCCTTATACAAAAATGTCTTTTCTATACCGAGTTTCTTCCCCACCCCTTAAAAATCCAACGTATATAAACATAAAACAGCAAAATCTCACTGGCACTCTCGACACGACACGCAAGAATGGCACAATTACACAGAAGACAAAAACTTTGAGTGAGTAGAAATACTTTGATTGAATATAAAAAATATATTTTGCATTGTATAAATTCACTTTTCCACATCCTAAATGTATTTGTTAAATGTAAACAATGTTTGTAAATCCCAGGCCCTGAAGATGATCTCAATAAAGTTCAAAACGATAAAGAAAATGTTTTTCTGAAACCTACATCACACCAGACCGCATCTCACGATTTCTGAATAATAATAGGTCAGTAGGTTGGGACATGATATAAAAGAAGATACTTTGAGAAAGGGCTTATAAAAAAATTGTCAAAATTAATAATAATAATATTTGATCGAGAAAATAATATTTAATTAATATTTAAAAGTACAATTTTTTTGCCAGAAGTTGCACACAGTAAGTCCAGTTTATGTTCACCTGACCTGATTTAGTGTTATTCCTTAAAGTCTAGTATTTCGATTACTTAATTATAAACAACGAATTTATCATTTAATTAATTGAATGATAATCGAAAATGACTTGTCAGCTGTAATGGGTAGACCAACACTTCCGCAACACTTACAGGTCTTGCGGGTTTAGTATCCTATAATAAAAGGACAAACTGCAGGTACCAGCTTCTTTTTCCACATTTCTTTCATTATCATCATTATCATAGATCATTTACTTGCAATGTGCCTTAATCTTGGTTGTTATCTCATCTCCTAACGTCCTTTAAATGACAGAGAGATTTTGTAAAGTTTCTTTGGAACCAAGTTAATTGCCTCTTAATTTCCTTGGTTTGTTTTCTTTAGGACTCTCTATTTTTCTTAGGACATTCTTTTCTGACCTCCTTTTCAATAGCTTAATTTTTGCTTTACTTCATAAATCCGCCATTTTGTTTTTGTACACCAAATGATATCCATAAGGTTTTTTTATTACCAGGTCTAAATATAAGTACTCACCTTTTGTGTACTTGGTTTTTTAGTTAAATCATTTAAATCATTTTAACGGAAAATCATTAAACTTCCGTCTATTTTCGGTCGATTACGTTTCACGCAAACGGGTTAAGCCTTCACGAATTGGTTTTGGATAAATAAGTGGCTGGGAAAGCGTCAGAATGGCAGGTTATAACAAAATCAACTTGTAAACTTTTTAAATTGCGATTTTGGTGAGAATGAAACGAGTTTAAACTTCTTCACTGAAGATGGCGTGAAGCAGGAACTCGTTTAAGTAAAACGTAAATCAGCGAGAATACTCGTGCAATGATGATCTCATCAACTTACCAAGTTATGTGTGGTGGTTAGTGACCGTTAATCGATAATTATTCAGAAATCGTGAGATGCGGTCTGGTGTGATGTAGGTTTCAGAAAAACATTTTTTTTATCGTGCCAACGTTTCGATCTTTATTGAGATCATCTTCGGGGATCAAAGTGTTTGTCTTCTGTGGAATTGTGCTCGTCTCTTCACGACACGCAAGAATTGCATAAATACACAGAAGACAAACACTTTGAGCCCTGAAGATGATCTCAATAAAGATCGAAACGTAGGCACGATAAAGAAAATGTTTTTCTGAAACCTACATCACACCAGACCGCATCTCACGATTTCTGAATAATTATCTAGTTATGTTATCTAACTCAATCTAAAAAAATAGGTAATAAAGAAAATTTATTGTTAAGTATTTATATTAACATGTTTTTATTAAAAACCCAACAGCCTAGAACAATTCTACATAATACAAACAACCCACTGTTTAGAGGAACTCGCATCATAAATATTAAAATAACAAAACTGAGTTAATCATTGACCTACTTCAAGCGATTGGATTATTATTTCAGATAAGAGTTCCGTGGGTGCAAAATCTGAATATCGATTAAAGGCGGGCACAACAGGGCCGGCAAAGCCGTTTTGCCCTTCGAGGACCCTTGGAAAGAGGCTCCTTCGTGACAGTACGAATACAAAACAGGTGTGATAAAAGGATTAAATCCAGGCGCCGTGGTGTCCCGAGACGACGTGTCACCCGAGAAACAAGTTAACTTAGATGGGAAATCTCGCCGTCCTATTGAAAAAATCCCTTTCAATTCAATTGACAATAAACTTTGTAAGAATCAAACGACCAAACAGGCGAATTTGAACAACAACAATAATAATAACAATAATACGACGAATAAACATTTCGATTTATTTTGTCGTTTGACATTGCATTTTGCTCGTCTGGCATTTGAGGAAAATCAGAGTCGTTTGCTACATAAATGAAAAAACAAAAATCTAATAAAATAGATTAGTGAATGAAATATATACATATATAGGGGGAAGCCAATGCAATGAGTGGAAAGGCCATGGTATATGGTGCACTAATTTATTTTATTAGTTATTTTTAATGACCTTAATGAATTCTCAAATTTGAAAGATACGATAAAGTTTGATTTTTATTAAATAACGTATAATGAAGTATGTCCTTACGTTTAATCCTAGAAATCGTCAAAGCTGGCGAAAAGTTTATTTGTTTATTATATAAATATATATGTATATATAATAAGATAATATCAGTTTGACGATTTCTAGGATTAAACGTAAGGATATACTTAATTATACGTTATTTAATAAAAATCAAACTTTATCATGTCTTTCAAATTTTCACACAATATATATATGTATANTATATATAAACAAATAAACTTTTCGCCAAATTTGACAATGTCTAGGATTAAACGTAAGGACATACCTAATTATACATTATTTCTTAAAAACCAAACTTTGTCGTATCTTTCAAATTTGAGAATTCATTAAGGTTCCTAATTGAAAGTTATTTGTGACGAGAATAGTATACAGGAAATTTAATGCTGAATCCAAAAGTGCAGTAGACCTAATGTTAGATATTTGGGTTTTTCTGAAGTAAGGTAATGTTTAGGTGGAAAATCTAACAAAAATTATAACTCGTCAATGACGGAAGATAGGCAAAGGGACTGTATACTAGAAATTGATAAAATGGGGGGGGGTGCTATCACCCATAATTTTTTCGCACTTTCTCTGGTACTAGTTTATAATCTTCTATCTATCGTTCTATCTAAACTGCTCAAAAATGAATAGAGATATTTGTAGTATATTCTTACTCATATTAATTTTAATTAAATTAACCGATATATTTTTGTTAGTTGGATAAAACAATCAAAAATGTTAAACCTCAGTTTTAATAACGGATTTACATAAGAATAGTAAACATGAAGATTACTCGTTTTATAAACAAACAACTTTTCTCCATTTTAATCTAATCGCATTCTCTTTAACCATAGATCGACATCATCTTGTTGCAAAATTATTGTGAGAATGAATCATTGAGGTCTCCGGCAAGTGGTCATCGCAGAGGCAGGTGGCGTTTCTCAGAGGCCTCTGAGGTGGTGGATCTCATCGCATTACGACACTAACTGAGGACAGAAATATTATCATTGCTGCAAGACGGAACTCTGTCCAAATGCTCCCATTCCTTAATTGAAGTACAAGATATTTTGGCAAGGACTTTATCAACACAAACGACTCGTAATGTTTGTGGGAAATGGGCCTCATATATTTGCCCCATGTGAGGCGACCTGCAGCTCAGGAGGATATGGTGCAGCGAGCGCCTAGAAGTGAACACTAATTAGAATGCTGTTATGTTTACTGATGAGCCGCTGTTCTGTCTTATCGTGATAGCAGGTGCCCAAGAGCCTGCCGAGAACAGGGGATGGGTAAAATGCCCCAGGTCCTGCTCCATCCAGTTCTGTTTGGAGGAGGCTAGGCGGTGTACTGATTTACGCTGGGACCGTATTGTTGAAGGCAACGTCACCGCAGTCCGTTACGTCCAAGAAATTATCCAGGGATCTCATTAGAAGGAATTTTCTGTTTCTGGATGACAATGCCAGTTCTCAGAGGCAGAGTTGTTCATCAATGTTTAAAAAACGGGGGAATTTCCCATCCGCCCCTTTCCCCATTGTCTGCAGAAGTCCATCCCATTGAGCACATGTGGGATGCTCTACAGAGAAGGCTTTTCGATCACCACCGAGCCAGTTGACCAACGACTGAGTGAAATTCTTTATGAAATTAGTGTCAACCTTATTAACAGTACGCCTAACAAGTGGACACAGGTTTCAGCTAGCACAGGATATTATACACGGTATTAATTATTTAAAAGATTATTGTGCACAATAAACAAAATTAAGGAATTAAAACCCCTTATTTTGTTATTTGTCAACATAGTTGAACTAAATTTTCCTCCTGTAAAAAACATAATAATTTCTAATAAATATTAATGCAATTTATTATAAAAATAAAATAAAAATGCGAGGAAAAAAGTAATACACAATTGGCAATATCACTGTTCATTTTGTGAGCAGTTTTTATATCTATTTACATGTCTAGTACCTATCTATCTCACTATCTTCATTATTCTCTCTTTCCCTCTCTCTCTCTCTCTCTCTCTCTCTATATATATATATCTATATATCTATNTATATATATATATCCCTTCCTGTCTTTCCTTTCTCTTTTTGATTCTCCACCCTCTCTTTTTCTTTCTGTTTGTCAATATTTCTGCAAGTTGTTTATAGCAGTTTTTCATATTTCATTTCAGTATTCGTTACTTATTACGGTACATTGCGTTTGTTCATGTGGTAAGTCCTAAAATCGTTCAACGACGGAACGTCTCGTGCAGACAGTTTATTTTAAAGAAAGACATATTTATTAAAAAAAATAATTGTTATCTTTTTGACCAAAGCTCTTGCTCGTAAAACAAACTAATTACGTGTTTGTTTACAGATCCTCGGGGTGTTCTGGGGTGCCCTTCGCCTGGGCTTTCTCTCAGGGGTGTGAAAGTGGTGGCTCGACCGAAGGCCGCTCAAGATTACAGCACCCTTGCCGAGGTGAAGTTCCTGGCAGAGCTGCCGGCTCCGCTGCCTTTCCCGCCGGAGAAGAAACTCTGCAAAATCAAGTGCATCGGCGGCCACTGGGTCGGGCCTCTCTGCCAGCAAGACTCAGGTGAGCAACGCTCCATTGTTACCTTGTCAAAGTTACTTTATTGCTTGTTCAGATTTTTCCTTTTAAAAGCGAATTTTTTCTGTATTCTCTCGTCAATGTCTAATATTTCGAGGTCTAAGGATAAAAACATCTATCCTGATAATGGGTGTAAATTCCCGATCGTCAAAATAAATCGAAATAACTTATGTATTTATTTTTTTAAATTAAAGGAAATGGTTCTTTACATAAAATAAAAAATTTAAATAAAGCAAATTATTCATACAAATTCTGTTTGTAAAAACTTTAATTTATTTCTGGAAATATTATTTTAACCGAATATTATTCTTTTTCCATTAGAGTTCGTGATCCGATTGACCAGATAACTTCTTTTCAATTAATTAATCTTTATGTAAGATCTTGGTTGAGATAAAAAAGTCAGTGTCACGAGCGGGATTCGAACCCCCTGCCTTCGAATCCGACTTGTTTATTAAACGGTTTTTTTTTTTTAAACACCGGCAACCTGAGGGTTTATATGACCTCTGTTGTTGCGAATCCTCGTTTAAGAAAAAGTTTAGTGAAGACATATTTCGTTTTACTTAGTAAATCATTAATATTTCCTCGACCAATTGACCAAATAACTTCTTTCAATTAATTAATCTTTATGTAAGATCTTGGTTGAGATAAAAAAGTCAGTGTCACGAGCGGGATTCGAACCCCCTGCCTTCGAATCCGACTTGTTTATTAAACGGTTTTTTTTTTTTAAACACCGGCAACCTGAGGGTTTATATGACCTCTGTTGTTGCGAATCCTCGTTTAAGAAAAAGTTTAGTGAAGACATATTTCGTTTTACTTAGTAAATCATTAATATTTCCTCGACCAATTGACCAAATAACTTCTTTCAATTAATTAATCTTCATGTAAGGTATTGCTTGAGATAGGAAATTGGTATCCGCATGGATCGAAGTCACAATAGTTCAAGTGGTAGAGCAGCGGCGTATTTAGCCGAAGGTCGTGGGTTCGAATCCCGCTCATGACACTGACTTTTTCATTTCAACCAATACCTGACATAAAGATTAATTAATTGAATGAAGTATATTCAATACTGTTAAAATCCTTGGCAATGCTAGGACTGAGTCGGTCTTCAAGGAAATTTGATATCGCCTTTATAAAAACCTAAACATGTCAATTTGTAGCCATATTGAATATTGTTTTGCCATGAAGATGACCTTAAAATATGTCGAAAACTTAGCAGTAACAACTGAATTAGCTTTCTTCTTCCAGACTATTCCTTGATCCAGAGTGTTGGTGAGTGATAAGTGGTCGATATTTCTAACTAAAAATTTGACCAAACTTCCACCAAAACCCCACATTTCAAATTTTCCCTCCTGGGCAAAAATTGTAAAATGGAGGGAAAATTCAAAAGGTGGGGTTGAGATGGGATGTTAGTGTTCGAGCGGATCGAAGTCACGATAGATCAAGTGGTAGAGCAGTTGCGTATGTAGCCGAAGGTCGTGGGTTCGAATCCCGCTCGTGACACTGACTTTTTATCTCATCCAATATCTTACATAATGATTAATCAACGACTAACGTTAGAACAGTTTAGTTTCACGTTTCTAGTAAATTATGTTTAATACATGCATGAGATCTAATATATCTAATAGCTCTTTAATATATATCTATTGTAGTAAGTTGTATCTCATTACCAATAGTAGTTACAAATTGATAGTCTGAGACGACCATTGTCCGAAAAGCGGCTTGTTTACGAATTACGCCATTTTAACTTTACAGACTCGTGTTATTTTCCATTCGTGTTCTATTTACGTACGTTTGAAAAACGTGAAGGGTTGAAAGGATAACTCCTACGCGTAATCCATCAAACGCGTGGCTGAACAAAGACAATGCCGACACACCCCTTTCTACCCGTCAAAATTTACAAACCGATAAAAAGTACATGACTGACAAAATAAACGATCACGCTACACGTCCATCAACTTGCAGACTTCTATTTTAAACGTTGCTTTTGTAAATCCAAAAAAGAATACCTTCTGCATTCTCTTGCGATTCTTTTAAGTCTATTTTGTTTCAAAATGTAACGAAAACCCAAAAACAATGTTTCAGAACAAACATGAAAAATATGTGATATTATTATGAAGACACGCGTAAAATTCTAGGACTTTTAATAATAGTGAGTTAGTAATAGCTGAGTGTAGGTTTATCAGAATATCCTGCTATATTTATACCACTGGACTCAAAACCTCTTTGATTTCTTGGATATGAAAAATTATGAGATTTATAATACATAAAAATCTTATCAATGAATGAACTGCCATTGTTCTTGCTGGATCCGCCTATCTGTGCGGCTTTTATGCCACTCAAACCAATAGCTTACTAAAGAAGGCATAAAGGCGAAAACCCCCGAGGATAGAATAGATTCATAATTTTTTCGCCTACTAGCAGACCATCATCATCGTCTTTTGTAACTCTCGCAAGATTCTAGAAATGATGGCTCGATTGAGCAACAAGCTGCCTTATAATTTGTAGTATACAACAAAATATTAAACTGGTTCTGGGGGATAAATGGAACACATATCTTTTTATCAAATGGAGACTGCATCCATATGAAATTCCATGAAATCAATTAAAAAGAAACTGAAAGCCTAAAAGGACTAATATCGAACGGTATATTTGGTTCCTTTTCTTCTTGGAAAATCGGTAGAATCCAGAATGTTTTATTCTCTGCAACTACCAATAAAAATAAAGCTTCCAATTCGTTTAGCCCAAAACCTGTTTTCTGAGACGTTCGTAAAGCATAGACCTCCTCTTTTTCAATAATATTCTGGCTGGGTAAACTTTATTTTGCATTAATTGTAATGACAATTAATTAAGGTTTTAGTTGAGATGAAAAAACGTTAATAGCACGAGAGGGATTCGAACCCACGACTTTCGCCTAGATACGCCGCTGCTCTACCACCTGAGCTATCGTGACCTCGATCCACTCGGACATCAACTCTCCATCCCAACCCCACCTTATTAGTATTGAAAAATGGCAAAAGGAGGGAAAACTCATAAGGTGGGGTTGGGATGGGGAGTTGATGTCCGAGTGGATCGAGGTCACGATAGCTCAAGTGGTAGAGCAGCGGCGTATCTAGCCGAAGGTCGTGGGTTCGAATCCCTCTCGTGCCATTAACTTTTTTTCATCTCAACTAAAACCTTAATTAATTGTCATGTATTAATTGGTCAAGCGGACCACGAAATTAGTGAATTAATTGTAATATTGTAATTAAATTACAATTAATTAAGGTTTTTAGTTGAGATAAAAAAGTCAATGGCAGGAGCGGGATTCGAACCCACGATCTTCGGCTAGATAAGCCGCTGCTCTACCACTTGAGCTAATGGCAAAAAGGAGGGAAAATTCAAAAGTTGGGGTTGAGATGGGAAGTTAGTGTCCGAGTTGATCGAGGTCACGATAGCTGAATCTGAATTGGCACCTATTTGACAAAAGCCCTACCATGCCCAACCCGCACCTCACAGTATGCTGAAAATTATAAACAAACCATTTGTTAAGAGAAAAGGAATATAGTTCTTAGACAATAAAGAATTAAAATTATATCAAATGATGAGGCAAAGGGGTACTTATCTCAGAATTTACCCATGTTAACTTGTTTTAATTACCTACCAGCCTTGGCCCATTCCAAAATTCTATTCCAAGCCTTTTGATCCTCAGGTTTTATCTCTATTGCTTAATGTTCAAGTTCCAGATGTCCTCTTCTAATATCGAATGATGGCCATCGATGTCTCTGTATGATGCCCAATTGTCATCAATTCTACTATGACCTATCTAGCACAGCTTTTTATATCATGATGTTTTCCACATTGAAAATGTCCTCAGGGTTGTTTCGGCAACGGTATATTCCATTTTCATTTTACCTTTAAATTATTCGTTACACTTTCCTTTCCCACAGGATCGTCTAATTAAATTCTTATTTTATATAAAGCAACCTTCACTTTTCTCGATAACTCTTTGCTACAGACCGTTTTCCTTAGCACCCTTATATATTTCATGCAAGAATGAAGCTTTCAACGAAGCACCTCGTTTGTTTTTTCATGAGGGTTGCCACAAAATACTTTAAGCTTTAAGACCTTTAAACGGTCACGGAGTTTTTAAAAACCTTTTCTCAATTTGACCATATATTTGTCTTTTGTACAACAATATTTATTCTTTAGCTCCTTCTTCCACCTACTAGAAATAACATTTTAAAGCTGCCAGAGATCACGCCTCTTTTGCCCCTGTAGAATATCATCTATGCCTGGTGATATGTAAGCCGGTTAAATATATTCTCTCCTGGATTTCCAGATCTCCTCCGCATTACCTGCTAAATTATTAAATTATATAGTATGCGGGACGTCTTATCGCATTGCCTCAACCTTCGTATTTTTTGGGTTAAATTATTTAAGTAATTTTTAGCAATATTTATTCAAGTACTATCAGAACAAATTGGGTAAAACAGAGAGAGAAAATAATCAGCTTCGTCTAGTAAGTTGTAGAGGTATCTGAACATGTAGTATTCTTATTTGGAACTGCAATCAAAGAAATAATCGAAGTTGTACTGAGAGTATTTGATTTCCCAAGGGAATGGGCACTTTCCACGTAGAGAAGGGTGTATTTACGATAGAATTGACAATGTCATGGTTGACTGAAGATAAAAGAAGACTCACTGAATTCGTCTCTTGGATAATTTAATATAAATTAAATTGCGCCTACAATTAAGAAGGCTATTCAACAGGCAAGTCTGTCCTTTGATTAAAAACAGACATTTTAGCAAAATTATTAATAGTGTTAATCCGTTTTCAAAATCAGAAGCAAAGCCCAAAGTAAAGAATTAAGTAAGTAGATGGGAAATCAACATTTGTTGGAAATTTTTTCTAAAGGGTCGTTTGTGAGATGAGACCGGGCGAGGGAAGAAAGGAAAGGATAATCTTTAATAAAGGCTGGGAAAGGTTTTTAAACCGGGGCCAAATTGCGTCGGATCTCCTAGGTTATTACACGGCACGTTTTCACTTCAGGATAAACGCCCGATTCGGCTCAGACGGGCCACTTTGCAAAGCAATATCAGATTATATGAATTCCGTTTTTGCTGTAAACAACGTGAGAAGGAGGTGGAGGCTAGGCGATTTATGAGACTTTTAAAAATTACTTTTCAACACCAATTTTTAAAGGGGCAGCTGCATTATGAAGACACGGATATACGTCAGTCGGAATGACAACCGCAGGATGTAATATGCGTCGACATACCTCGGACGTCCTTGCTTTATACATTAACAAGACACCTACACTTTAATATGTAATTAGCCCTTTACAACTATGAGGATTTGTAGGGTAGAAAGCTCCGACAAATTTGGTATAAAAAGGGAGAAAAGACTATCAGACTAGCACGGATGATAGTGACGCTTTTCCAGCCGGTTGGCTTGATTGCCGCCGGCATTCCATAACAGATCAAAAGGAAAGCTGGCAGACTATGAACTGCAAGCTAATTTTTTACTCTTCGTTAAATAATATTATTCTGAGTGAATAAACATTTATCTTTTGCTTCCGATCCGGTCACGATCCATATTGCCAAAACGTCCTCAACATCCAGCAACAGTGTACACTTTGTACCCTTTGATAACATAATATCAATATTTAACGTTTCTACGTGTCAAAAGGAAAATATATTCATAAAAGTTCAGACGTAATTTGTTCGCACCCTCTCGTGTCTGTCGTCGTAGGGAGCGTAAATCTCGAAAGCTTTCCTGAGACACCACACGTGGGGAGTTCAAAGTTTCAGGTTTTATGGATGTGCAATTAGCAGAAATGTGCAAAGTTTGTTTTTTCAAGATAGATTACTTAAAACAACACATCGGTAAATGTTAAATAAACTAAATTGAGTTAATAAATGAAAGTTTGATACTAATTTAACACTGTGAAAACACTAATTTTAAATTGGATGGCAATTCGAACAATCAAACACACTGATGTAATTTTTACCCATTCCCATATTAAAAAAGTATGCTCTTTTGAATCAACATGAAAAGCTAGTCTAAAGGTATCGAAATTTTGCCGATAAACCAACTTTTTATCACATATAACAATTTTAAAAAATCAATTCGTTTTTTAATGTTTTATCTATGTCTTATGTAAAACACACTGATGTAATTTTTACCCTTTCCAACATCGAAAAAGTATGCACTTTTGAATCAACATGAAAAGCTAGTCTAAAGGTATCGAAATTTTGCCAATAAAGCAAATTCTATCACATTTGACAATTTTAAATATTCAATTCTTTATTTAAGGTTTTTGCTATGTCCTATGTACAAACACATGGATGTAATTTTTACCCTTTCCAACATCGAAAAAGTATGCTATTTTGAATCAGCTTGAGAAGCTAGTTTAACGGTATCGAAATTTTGCCAATAAAGCAAATTTCTATCACATTTGACAATTTTAAATATTCACTTCTCTTTTTAAGGTTTTTGCTATGTCCTATGTACAAACACATTGATGTAATTTTTACCCTTTCCAACATCGAAAAAGTATGCGCTTTTAAGCAACTTCAAAAGCTAATCTAAAGGTACCGAAATTTTGCCAATAAACCAACTTTTATCACATTTAACAATTTTTAATAATCAATTCGTTTTTTAATGTTTTATCTATGTCCATGTACAAACACATGGATGTAATTTTTGCCCTTTCCAGCATCGAAAAAGTATGCTGTTTTAAATCAACTTGAAAAGCTATTTTGAAAGTATCGAAATTTTGCCAATATAGCAAATTCCTATCACATTTGACAATTTTAAATAATCAATTCGTTTTTTAATGTTTCATCTATGTCCATGTACAAACACATGGATTTAATTTGTACGCTTGCCAACATCGAAAAAGTATGCTCTTTTGAATCAACTTCAAAAGCTAGTCTAAAGGATCTAAATTTTGCCAATAAACCAACTTTTTATCACATTTAACAATTTTAAATAATCAATACGTTTTCTAAGGTTTTATCTATGTCCTATGTACAAACACATGGATGTAATTTTTGCCCTTTCCAGTATGGAAAAAGTATGCTGTTTTAAATCAACTTGAAAAACTATTTTGAAAGTATCGAAATTTTGCCAATAAAGCAAATTGCTATCACATTTGACAATTTTAAATATTCACTTCTCTTTTTAAGGTTTTTGCTATGTCCTATGTACAAACACATTGAAGTAATTTTTACCCTTTCCAACATCGAAAAAGTATGCTATTTTGAATCAGCTTGAGAAGCTAGTTTAACGGTATCGAAATTTTGCCAATAAAGCAAATTTCTATCACATTTGACAATTTTAAATATTCAATTCGTTTTTTAAGTTTTAGCTATGTCCTTAGTTGTTTTCCGGGACCTTTTGTCGTTCACCAGTTGCATAAATTATGAATAGAGATATCTTTGACACACTTCATTCCTTGGAAAGTATAAAAGTACTTAAGGATTGATTTGATTTTTAAATTTTGCTGTGTAATCTCATCAATATCCATGACACAACTGTACAACACGCAAGGACGCCTTCCTCTTCAGTTTGAATAATCCAAAGCTGCTTCAGCGGCTGGAAACATTTTAAATCCGATAATGTTTCTGTATAACAAGAATTTATTAAGAAAACGAAATCTTTCTTTTGCAGATAAGTTAATTTATCTAGAACTTGAGGCAGTTGACTGTACATATTTTGTAAGTGCTCTAAACGGAAGCAATATTTGGTGTACACCGACTTAGGAATTTATACTTATGATAATATAAAGCAGATGCTTATGAAGCGCTATTTAAGTTAAAAGTTTCCTTTGGATAATGGAAAAGACGGTGTGCCCGGGGGGGGGTCTCCCTTTTAGTTTATTACTGAGGTCAACGTTCTCTCAGAATTGGGGCGCCTGTGAAACTGAGCTGCCGGTTGGACAAAGCGATAGCTGGCAATCGAACCGATGTAAAGGAGTCGCAACTATTTCTGCGAAACTTTGTCAATAGGCCTAATATCTCGTCGTCGGTTGATAGACGAGATTCCAGGTCGGATCCTGTTGAAAGAGATCCCGCGCGACTTAACGGTTCAGTTTCCAACGAAGGGCGAATTCGAGACGGATTTCGAGTTTGGCAAGTTTTTTCTTTCACCGTCGATCGCAACTCACTGTGAGAGTGGGAAATCTCATTTAGGCCGAGAGATTAAACTAGCTCCGCTTTGAGTCTAATGCTCGTCGCGGCCCTCCCACCAAAGATGAACAATCTGAGATTAATCGTGGCTTATGAAAGCCACGGTAACAATTAATAGCGGCTAATGAGCGAGCCTATGCTGAGAAGTCTAGGTGGGAGAATGGATGTTCCTCATTCCTCGTCATTCACTTTAAGCCTTTCACGGAAATTAATTCCGCTAATGAGTCATTTTTTCTTTTAAACGTTTCTAAAAAATCAATAATTATTTATTCTACAGATTTGCATATAAATAAAAAAGTAAATGTCAAAGCATAGCTTGATACTTAAACAACTTTTCCTCCTTTTAGCTAATAAGAATATGATTTTCAAACTCATTACAAAAATAATTAATTAGTCTTTCTTTGAAAGGACTTGGTTGAGATAAAAATGTCTGCTTGATACGCCGCTGCTCTACCACTTGAGCTATCGTGACTTCGATCCCCTAGGCAGTAACTTCCCATTTGAACCGCAACTTTTGAATTTTCCCTCCTTTTTGCCATTTTTCCTTCAGGGCTCAAAGTGTTTGCCTTCTGTGCAATTGTAACATTCGTGCGTGTCGTGTTGAGAGAGCCTCTCAATAAAGATCGAAACGTTGGCACGATAAAGAAAATTTTTTTCTGAAACCTACATCACACCCGACCGCATCTCACGATTTCTTAATAATTATCGATTATCGGTCACTAATCTCCACACAATTCTATTCATTTTTTTTTTTGATAATTTCTGATCATGATGAATCAAGCATTAATCTCTAAAGATATGACCTTTAACTATCTTCAATTTTGATTGTTTAATTGGCTCACGTTATAAAATCTAAATAACCTGATCTGAGCCGTCGAAAGGACGGGTCAAAATGAAATCAATTAATATTTTTTTCAATGTTATTTCTTGTAGCAATGAAACTTTTATTTTAATTATTGAAGTATAATTAATTTTCAGGTGGTTCGCACGTAGGCAACTTGAAGATCGATTCACGTATGTTGGGTAAGTAGAGAAGTTTGTTTCTTAATTTTTAACCATTTTGTAAATAATTTTAAACACACGTTGTACTACAACACACTTTAATTGTATTATTTTCCCGTATAAACAGGTTTTTAGTTATATTTTCCTTGATGGTTCTTATTTTTTGAATTAATATTATTTATCTAATTGTCAGTGTTATATTTTTGTTAATATCGCTCTACTTTTTTTTTTACCAATATCATCCTACGATATTTTCGTTTTTGTTTGATGTTTTCTTTTTTTTAAGAATAAAATTTATTTTGTTGTTTTTCTTGTCATATAAGGTATAAAGGAGAAATATTTTCTGATTTTTTATTGATTTGATGTTTTTATCTTTAGTTGTAACGAGTTGTTTTTTTACTCTACTTTATTAGTAATGAAATCGTTTTCAAACCCGTTCAGCAAGTATTTTATTGCGTTTAGCTCGTTAATATAACTTTCAGGTGACAGGGGAACTGTTATCAATCTATCGATCAGCAACATAAACCCCACTTTGTGGCACCAAGGGTGTCGTGAGTCATGATGTATCGTTGTTTATGTTGTACGTAGTAGGTTTTCTGTGTCACGTTTAATTATAAATATACCATTAAATATAAAGCGTCAAAAGTACTATATTACGTCGATATTGTTACTCAAATTCATTGGGAAATCTTATTTTTTGAGATATTTAGTAAAACCAGAAGCGTTTTTAATTTCAACCCTGCAAACAGAAATCGTCGTTCACATAACTCATCCGTAATGAGACGTTCTTCAATATATTATTTTTATTTTCAAATAGTTTATTTTTTAAAATTGGTAAAATGTTCCAAATATTCAAGAAATGGTAAACGGCGCATCTGTACGTTGACAACCCTTGTTCCTTAGAATATCCCTTGAATTAAGGTTTTGAAATCTTGTCCCGGAATTGCAATATTGCAAAATTCTTGGGTGTTTTGTATGAATTTTTGATTTAATAATCTCTTATTGAGAGCAAATCGTATCATTACTCCAACCAATACAGTATGGAATTGTTAGGTGCAACCAACCCTGACAACTTACAGAGTCCAATCACCTTCAGTCTAAAATGGTTCAAACCTTGCCAGATTCCCTACTTCGTGTCCAATCTTACCATCCTCGCAGACCTCCAAATCTTAATTTTTCTTGAAACTGGAAGAAGTCGACTCGGACGTCTCCAAAATAACCTCGCCCCAACCCTAGTTTGTTTCTTCCAACAATTCTCTAAGATGCTTCAAGCGCCAGTGTCCTCGTAATTTTTTCTTGTACCCTTGGTCGCTGTTGTAACACAATGATAATAATTTTAAAAAATGAGAAAACCAGTCGAAAGAAGGATGAACAAAAAAGTTCCAAGAAAGCCGTCTTCCACGCTCCTCTGCGACAAGTTTATCCATTTCATGAGGACATTCTAGCTATAATTGTTAATTTAACAGGGTACTTTAAACTTTTAGTATATTTAATGTAATGGATGTTGTTAGAATGTTAGAATTACGAGGATGGATCAGGGGGAGTCACCCACCTTGGTGCCTGAGCGACTCCGAGGTTGGGCTCTGGTCTGGCGCCATCGACTTCTTTGGCCATTTCGGCGCTCTTACGTTTCCTAAAACTAGTCGTTCTCACACTCACTCATACAATAAATACATACATACTCCTATGTACAAACCCAATCACACATGCATATCCTCTGTCTAGAATCCGGGTCGGAGGGTACTCGATATTCCGCCCCGACCCGGCTTAGCTAAGCAGCGGTGGAGCTTAAATGTGCGAGCAAGGGCGACCCAACTCAATTGAGGATAATCCCTCACTCTCCAAACTCTAAATTTATCTAGAATCCGCTAAATATAAATTTTTCCCAGATTGCAGTCCATCAACATCTCATACGTAATGAAAAAATGGAAAATTCAATCCTTATAATTAACACTTACCAGCCCACAATACGTGTAAGTCAATTACAATTCAATTAATGCATATATTTAAATAAATGACAATAAGGCGATGTTTGAAATTAATTATAATTGTACAAGAACCAAGGAATTAAATTTAAATTTTATACAAACAAAAGAAAGGCGCCTGATACATTAGATTAGACAAATTTTCAGCAATGCGATAATAATACAATGGTATAAGTATTAAACAAATATAAAATAAGTTTATAATTTTAATAAAACAAAGAGACAAAAAAACACATAAATTGTCTAAAGCGAGAAAAACTCACGGGTGAGGTCAGCGAGTGGAGCGGCGAGTCACAAAACAAATGCGGAGGAGATCGACACGCACAAAAGAAGAAACGGTCGCGAATAAATTGCGCATGTAACTCGTACACAAAGTCTTACACAAATTTACGGGTTGTGGGACGGCCTCGAACACGTGCGAGTAGCGAAAGTGCCTCTCTGGACCTCGTTGTCAAGCGAGTCTCCAACAACAAAACCCGTCACTTCACGGCCTTTTAGATGCGCGACGTACAGATCACAAAAAATTCACACTTAACAACAATAATTTCATGTAACTTATACTAATTATTTTTTAAACAAAATATATACAAAAATATAGTATGCGTTAACATATGATGTGCTGCACCGCCGCCCCGCATACTCCTGTTCTAACATAAACTAAATCTAAACTTTAACATATGAAATAAATACCCCACTATACACAAACCATTATCTCAATATCTCTCAAAAACCTAAAAAGTTTTTTCTTTATCTATGCTTGAGCATTCTCCTATAGTCCGGCGTATTCCATTTCGGTCCCTATACGGGGCCAAGCTGTGACACCGTGAGTCTGTCATCTTGGCATGCTGGGCACCTAGGTCGACTCGCGCCAACCAACTGGAACCCATGAGTCGCACGTGAGTGACCGATCCGTAGGCGGGTCAGGACAACGCTTTCCCGAGCTCCACCGGTTGACTGTCGGCTTGACGGACACCAGCGCCTCAGTCGAGCCGGCCCAACGACTCTTCCACTTGTCAAATATCATATTTTTCCCTATTCTCTTAGCGTCGTCAAACCAATGGATGTGGTTGCTGGCATCATTATGGTAAATTTAGATTGAAAGGATAGGTGAATTGTACGTATATATATTCTGTTTAGAATGGAGGTTATATTTTCAATCCTATAGCTTGAAGAATCAACCAAATGTTTTCTTACTATTTGGACTTTTCCCTTCTCCGTAATAAATAAATTTTAAAAAAATATAAATAGATACAAACATTACATTCTACAGGCAAAGAATAGAGTCTCTTTCGTACAACATAAAATTACAAACAGAAATTTTTTTTTAAAAACTGATACACACATATACTAACGATACCAATTATTTTGACATCGTAAATATCCAGTGAAATTCAGATATTAGTTGTCCCCTTGGTGCTGACATTATTATGGTACATTTAGTTTAAATGAATCGGTTTATTGACTGTACTGTGCAAGTGAATGGAGGTCATATATTTAAGTTTTAAGTCGAAAACTTGGCGAAAGAACCAAAACACATTTTGCGATTTGGTCTTTTGTTTTCTTTATAATAAAAAAATACGAACAGATGTACTTACATTTCATACTTTTTTATTCTACGTACTTCTTAAATTAATACATGTCATTGAATACAATTGTTTTCAATAATTTTACTTAATTATGTATAAATGAATTTATGGCAAAACTTAAGTTTTATAAGTTTTTTTTTTTAGACTTGCAATTTTACCAATTTTAATAAAACACTATTTAACTGATCTTTTAGTTTTAACAATATAACAAAGAGAGAAAAATATATAAGTAAATAGTAGACAAAACGGGACGGTCGTACAATATGTGGTCAATGTGGACAGCAGGACATATGCACTGATCATTTTTTTTTAAATTCTAAATTTGTGTATAAACTTCATACATGGGCCAGGTCCTGACACGACCAGTTAGGTGTGTCACGGATTTGGACCGAACATTTTTTGGTGTTTCTACACTCCAAAATATCGGGCACGTATCCTCCACTTCTTGCGAATAGGCTCTGGTTTCGCCAAAAAATTTGAAAGCTGAATTATACCGTGTTTTGTTCTAATTTCGCTGTACTTCTTGCTCAAATCAACTATGTTAATATATCATTTTACAGCATTTTTTAAGTAGATTGCACTCAAACTATAATGAATATTTTTATTAACTATAATATAATAGCCAAAGAATATAGTAAAAGTGAAATAACCAAAAAATTTCAAAGAAACAAATTTTTTTCAAGTAAATTAGGTAAGAAATTTTTTCTTAAAGCTAATATTAAATTGTGTTTTAGACCTCTATAGACCCCGCAATATAAATGTTTGATGGAATTTAAATTTATCGATTTTTTTACCTCTAAAATTTTTCCGATTGTTAAGAAGTCGTTATCTTAACTCAAACGGATATAATTCAACATTGGCTAAAAATATTTTAACGTCAAACATGCCATTTAAAAGGAGAGGAACGTAGCTTTCAAACGCCGTATGTACCATAAAGATATGTAAAATGTTTCAAAGAAAATATTAAAAATAAGAAAATTATTTGTCAAAAGTTAATCTCATTTTTTATGAAAATTATAGTCCCATTTTGATGTTTGATACAGTCCATTATATTTCGTGATCCGATTGACCAAATAACTTCTTTCAATTAATTAATTTTTGGTAAGGTATTGGCTGAGATAAAAAAGTCAGTGAAACAAGCGGGATTCGAACCCACAATCTTCGGCTAAATGCGCCGCTGCTCTACCACTTGAGCTATCGTGACGATCCCGATTACACGACATTTCAAAAATAGAAAAAATGAGGAAAATTGGTTGAGGTGGGAAGTTGGTGTTCCATTGGATCGAGTCACGATAGATCAAGTGGTAGAGCAGCGGCGTATGTAGCCGAAGGTCGTGGGTTCGAATCCCACTCGTGACACTGACGTTTTTATCTCAACCAATACCTTACAAAAAATTAATTGGTTTCATACAGTTATAAAATGCACTTGACAATTAAAAAAAGCTTAGAC